ATTTTTTTAATTTTTTATTCTGTCACATTATGTAAAATGCTCCCAGGAGTCAATTGACAAACAGTGGCGGCATATTAAATATAATTTTTCAACAACAAAAAATTGATTTTGTTTGATAAAAGTATTTTTTGTTTTGTTTTGTTTTTTATGAATCACACAATTAAGCCAAAGTTTATAAAAAAGTAAAGTTTAGCCTAAAACTACAAAAAGGCATTTGCAAGAAACTTCAGACAACTACATTGTTTTAGAAATTTGAATTTCCAGCTTGCCCCCTCCCAAAAGTAAAGGCGCGATACGCCACTGTCTATTTTGAGACAATTTTTGCGATTTTCTCGATAACTATTAGTCACGGGACAACGATTTTTTTCTATAAGATAGGAAATTAAAAGTGCTTTCCAATGGTACTAAATGTGATCATTTTTCTCATTTTTTATTTTACCACTTGTATGTAAAATGCTCCGCGGAGTCAATTGACAGACAGTGGCGTATTCAGATGGAAACATATTAAATATAATTTTTCAACAAAAAAATGGATTTTGTTTAATAGTAACATTTTCTAATTACGTCAAAGAATAAAGTTTAGCTTTATTTTGTGTTAAAACTACGTAAAAGCCTTTCCAAGAAACTTCAGATAACTACATTGTGTTAAAAATTTGAATGTCCAGCTTGCCCCCTCCCGAAAGTAAAATCGAGATACGCCACTGTCTATTTTTCGACAATTTTTGCGATTTTCTCGATAACTATTAATCGCACAACAATGATTTTTTTTCAATAAATTAGGAAATTAAAAATGGGTTCCAACGGTACTAAACGTAATTTATTTTTTCATTCTTTTTTTTGACACATGTATGTAAAATGCTCCAGAAAGTCGATTGACAAAATAATTTATAGTTTTGATTTTTTGACAGTTTATGCGTTTTTCTCGATTCTTATTGTTCTTATTGCGTCATGTATGATTAAAAATAATTACTTTATCTCAAACTACATCGATAAAAAGATAGTAAACATGAGTCAGTGAAAAAATGTCGAGTGAAAGTGTCACCTACATTCAGAGATTTTCCTGGATTTTCAACATCCTTTTCCACCAAGCTTTAGCAGTGGTCACTGTGTATATATTATGCACAGCTTTGGTCAACGGCGCCTCTGACTCTCTAGCAACATGGCACATGGTCCTAACCCCATTTGGAGTAAGTCAAAAATTTGCAAAAAATCGAAAAATTTCACTCCAAATTTCCAGTTTTTATTTCTCATGATGGAAAGTTTCATTTTATTCACAAACACCAACATCCCTACTTTGCAAATGGCGCGAATTAAAAAACAATACGTCCATGGCACACTCCAATTCCTCAGCACTGTCTTCATCACAGTGGGAATCTCCTTCAGGATTAGCACCAAAGAGGGCGACCATTTCACCTCAACTCACGCAATTTTGGGTAAAAAACAACTCACTGAAACACTGAAAAAAATCCACTTTCAGGACTGGTCGCTTGGATCCTCGTTTGGTGCTCAGTGATTCTGGGACTCGCCACATCCCAATCCCAACACCTGAAAAAAATCGCCAAACCAGTGGTTCTCAAACTTTTGCACACTTTAATCGGAATTTGTGCCTTCACTTTCGGGATCATTGCGTTGTGTTTTGGCCTGAAAAATTATTTCAAGTCGTTTTCAGGCGAAGATACCATCAATGCGGCGGTTGTAACAATCGCACTTTTGTACCTTTGGGCCCTTTTTGACCCTTTCAGGGCACTCTACGCCCACATACGCAGTGTTTTTGCAAAATAAGCGCTCGAAAGATAAAGATAATAATAGATTTATTGTGTAATAAAAAAGAAATAAATTATTTGATTTCTGTAAAGTGTGTTTTTCCCATCGGGAAATCCTGTTGTTCAGAAATCGACAATGTCTGAGTTTGGGTCACTCGCAAAAAATTCGCTCCGATTTTTGGTCAATTATTCAGTGAGGAGTTGTTTATCTGGTGTTGTTATTTACTGTTGTTGGATTAGTATTATGGCATATTCGTGGTTTACCTGGCACGTGATTTTGTGTACTTTAGGGGTAAGCAACAAAAAAAATTTTTTTTTAATATACAAGGTGTTAAAAAAAGATTGTAAAATACAGGGTGCGTCAGAACTCGCGCTCCAGAAAAAAATTTCAAGTAAGGTAAGATACCAGAAACATGGAAAAAATGTTTAAAAAATTCTATCTGTCAAAAAATTTTGACATTTATGTTTTGACATTTGACATTTTTTTATGTCTATTTAATGATTCTGATGATCTTGTATATGTTTTTTTACAATTATTTAGTAAAAGTAAAAAAATTTTGCCAATAAAAGCCACAAATAACATTGAACAGAGTTACAATTTAGGATACAGCTTCCTTGTTTCCTCTTTTAGTAGCCTATAGCAAAAAAAACTTGGAAAATTATTTTTCCAACAGAAATAAATAGAGTCAAAGTGCAAACTTTAAACCCTCATAACTTCGAAATTTTTATAGATAAAATTTTTTTAACATTTTTTCCATGTTCCTACCTTACCTTATATGGCATTTTCCTCTGTATTTAAGGAGATAATAGTATGGACCAAAATAAACAAAAAAGTCTTAGTAAACATGGGTCCGCAAAGTAACGGTTTTGGAGAAATCCATCTGAAATATTTTACAATCTTTTTTCAATACCCTATATAAATAAAAATCAAAATTTGTTTTTTTTTTCTATTTTTATTTTGAATTTTATTTCTAGATGATTCCGTTAATGAGTGAAGCACTGCTCCTTTTCGCCCCCGACGAACTCTGGTCGAGACAATTACCCCGAACTCGAAAATACTTCATTCATGGCTTCTTGATGACCTTGGGAACGGTCTTAGTCACTGCTGGTTGCATTGACACCTTTTGTTTTATCACAGAAGGTTATCACTTGTACACAGCACACGGGATCACAGGTTAAATTTTTTTCCCAGTAGTAGAAAAAAACACCAATGTTATTATTGCAGGTTTGATTGCGATGATTCTGATGATTGTTTCGATCGTTTCGGGGGTCATGGCGAATTATTCAAAGTATTTGAGACCGGTCACTTTGAAATTCTACCATAATTGTTTCGGACTTTTGGGGTACATCATCGGAATTATTAGTTTGTGTTTTTCGTTTTATACGAATTGGTTTTGTTATTTTACTTCGTACGAGTCGAGAATTGTTGCATTGGTTGCCACCGTTTTGGGGGCGCTGTGGACGGTGAGTCCGGCCCTGGGTTCCGGCTTTCGACAAATCAAAACTTTGGTACAATAAAGTATTGAAATTTTTTTGTTTTTGATTTTTGTTGGGTGAAGAACTGTGTAAAATGTTCCGGGGAATCGATTGGCGGCGAGAAAAGTGGGAAATTCCAATGAAGTTTGTTGCAATTTTCTCAATAACTAGTCGACGTAGGACGATGATCTTTTTTTATAACATAGAAAATCAAAAGTGCTTTCCAGCGATACCAAACATGAGAAGTTGTGACCAATAGTTTAGGAGTTATCAGCCGTGAACCGTTCCGGTTATAACCGATAATGAAAAGTTTTTCAAAAAATCTGTCTCAAATCTTATCAGAAATTGATCAAATTAATAAATTTGCCTCAATTTGAACTAGAACCGATAATTTTCAAGTTATGTTAAAAAAACAATCAAAAATTTTTTACTTTTCTTGTTCTGTCAATTTCGGCAAAACTACTAATCATAATCAAAATGTTTCGGACCATAAGTATGTAAAATGTTCTAGAAAATCGAAACTGAAAAAATCTGGGCAAATTTAGCAATTGGCAATTTGTTGCTAAATAGGTAATTTTCTCAATAACTAGTAGTCGTAGAACAATGATCTTTTTTTTATAACATAGAAAATTAAAAATGCTTTCCAATGGTACTACATGTAAAAGGTTGAGTCTAATACTTTTCGAGTTATCAGCCGAGAACCGATTCGGTTATAACCAAAAAATTTCGAAAATTTGGAAAATCTTATCAGATATTGATCTTGAATGTAAAATAACCTAGGAAAGTTGCCTCTACTAACCAATTTGAATTTGAACCGATAATTTTCAAGTTATGTTAATAAAACATGCTCAAAAAATTTTTACGGCAAAACTACTAATCAAAATCAAAATGTTTCGGACTATAAGTATGTAAAATGTTCTAGGAAATCGAATGGCGTCAAAAAAACTGAAAAAAATCTAGACGAATTTAGCAATTGAAAATTTGTTGCTAAATAGGCAATTTTCTCAATAACTAGTAGTCGTAGGCCAATGATCTTTTTTTTATAACATAGAAAATTAAAAATGCTTTCCAACGGTACTACATTTGAAAGGTTGTGTATAATACTATTAGAGTTATTAGCTGAGAACCGATTCAAAAATTAAATTTTTTTCCTATATTATGTAAAATGATCCGGGGAGTATGTTTATGCAAATCGTTTTGACCCATGACCCACAGTTTTTTAAATATGAGGTTTTTTTTCGGTAAAAAGAACGATTTTATACACTTTAATTTCCTTATTTTGCCGGAAGAATGGAAACCTTGTCATCTATTGATACAAAACTTTTACCATTCAATGTCAAAGTTCACAACAATAATCGTAGATAAAGAACCCATCAAGTGCACTAAACTAGTCGTAAGTGCAACAAAATGAAACTCAAACTCCTTTTAATTCTTCTCTATTTCACCAAAATAAAAACGGCGTACGTATTTAACCCCCCTCACACACTAAACATTTTTCATTAATTTTTTCAGCGATTCTGAAAACCTGAAAAAACCGGGCTTCTTGTACACCATGCCAAAAGTGCTGCTCGCCGGCCGAAACGAAACCGCCTGTTTGTCCCTCCACTCCTCATTTCTACCAATCAAAATCACCGTCGATTTAAAAATAAAACAGACACATTTTTACACCAATAGAATCATCGATTCAGGTAAAAAACACCAAAAAAACAACCAAAAAAAAAACACAAATAATTATACAGAGTGGTTATAAATGATTTTCATCTAGCCAGCTTTGCATGTAACTTTATTTGTGCCGCTCTACTTATTTGAAAGCTCTAATTCTGTCATTAGTGTCACATATTAATTAATAATAAATTGTTGTTAATTAAACTTTTATTGTTTCAACTAATTTCCAATAATATTTGATAATAATGTATACTTTGGAAGAAAACAAGTTTATAATTGAAGTCTATTTTCTTAGGAAACGGCGATTTTTTAATTTTGAGTTAAAACAAGTATATACCCCTATTTTCGTAAAGCGGCATTTTTAATTTTACATGGAAAATTCACAGCTGGCTAGATGAAAATCATTTATAACCACTTTGTAGAACACTCGTGCTTCGAAATTGGGGTGCCCCCAAGCCCCAAACCCGAGGCCCACTTTGCCAGCGTCAAGGTCCAAATCGAGGCCCCCGGAGCCACCCTCACGGCCCACAACCAGGACCCCGTGGTGGTCCACCCCGACAACAAAATCACCTTCATCGAAACCGATCGCATGACATACAAATCCAAAGACATTGTCAAATTCAGAATTTTGACATTGGGGAATGATTTGCTCCCGATTTTGGGGCACAAAATACCCCTCGTCCGCATGCGCAACCCCCTGGGGGCGGGGGTGGCCGTCTGGGAGAACGTCACCACGGAGCTGGGGCTCGCCCATCTGGAGCACCAGCTGCCCCCCGACCCCATCGAGGTTATTTCTATTTTTTTTTCACTTTATTACTATCCTAATATATTGCTAAGCAACGGCGATAATTGACAAATTAAAAGTCCAACATATTTGTATTGTTACCTAGCAACTATAGATTTTGAAGTTTTCAAATCGAGTTGCTAAGCAGCAAGACCAATGCGTTGCTTTGTGTTGCCAACTCAAAAAAATAAAAGTCACCAGATTCGACTACAAAAAGTTTACACCTGTCAAGTCTTTCTAAAAGTGTAAAATTAGGTAAAAATTTTATACAATTTAGTGATTTTTCAGCTTAAAAATCTGTTTAAACTCTTGAAAAAGGCAAAAAAATGAAATTATTTTTGGCCTAATTCTGTAATTTTTGAAACGCCTAGAAATGCCCAAATAATATAATTTTTGACTTAAATTGTTGATATTCCAGTACAAAAACATGCTTAAAAGCATTTTTGACCAAATTTTCTGGTTTCTTCGCTTATTTTTAACTTAATTTTGCTCAAAAACCAATTAACTCGAATTAAATAAAAAATAATATTAACTTTCGATTTCAATTTTATAAGACTTTTTGGCTTATTTTGAACAAAATTTTACAAAATAATTGCGTTTCTTGCCGAAAAACCTTCTAAAAAATTTGAAAAATGGAAAAATTGTATAATTTTTGATTTAATTTGTTGTTTTTTCTTTGATTTAGCAAAATCTTACTGAAAATCTTGATAAAACATTTGAAAAATTCAAAAATAACATAATTTTCGACTTAATTCGTTGATATTTTGGTACAAAAACGCATTTTTGACAAGTTTTTGTGATTTCTCGGCTTATTTTTGACTTTGCTCAAAAACAAAATAATTCCAAATAAAAAAAATAATTTCGTAATTTTTCAGCCTGTTTAAACAAAATTTTATAAGACTTTTTAACTTATCCACAAAAACGTACTTAACACTCAACAAACGCAAAAATAACATAATTTTTGTCTATATTTTGTTGAATTTTTGGCTTGCTTTTAACGAAATTTTACAAAATAATTGCGTTTCTTACAGAAAAACCTTTTAAAATACTTGAAAAATGCAAAAAATATATAATTTTTGACTCTTAAAAAACACAAGAATAACACCATTTTTGCCTGTTTTGTTGATTTTTTGGCTTGTTTTTACGAAATTTTGGGAAATAATTGCATTTCTTCCTGAAAAACTTGATCAAACACTCGAGCAATGCAATTTTCGACTTAATTTGTCGTTTTTTAGATTGTTTTAGCAAAAAAAAACTGAAATTTTAGTGAAAAAACAAAGCATTTTTGCCCAAATTTCTGACAAATTTTCTCAAAATTAATTTAAATCAAGAGAATTAATCAAAATAGTATCATTTTCTTTTTTTTTTTCAATGTTTAGACAAGATTTTTTGGTCTGTTTCAACAAACTGTTTCAAAAAATTTTTGGTTTTATGTCAAAAACGAGCACCAAATTTGTTAAATTTTCGGCTTGTCCTTATCAAAATATTTATTTTATGTTTTTTTTTCGCTTATTTCTGACTTAATTTAATTAAGTTAAATCGAGAGAAATTATCAAAATAATTTTTTTTTCAATATTTAGACAAGATTTTTTGTATTTTTTTGTTTCAAGAAATTTTTCCAAAAAATTTTTGGTTTTATATCAAAAACGAGCACCAAATTTGCTAAATTCTCGGCTTGTTCTTATCAAAATAAATGTGATTCTAATTAAAAAATGTGGAAAAATTTGGCGAAATAATCAAGAGAAAGTGAAAAAAATAAAAAATTGGTGTATCAAAAAAATCACCAAGTGATAGAATTTTTAGTTAAATTTCACCAGAGCTGGCAACACTGGCATTTCTAAACACTGTTTTTTCAGGGCAAGTGGCGGCTGGAGGTGGGGGAAGAAGTGCGCGTTTTCGAAGTGGCCAAATATGTACTTCCCCGGTTCAAGGTTCAAATAATCCACCCCAAGACGATTTACATCGGGTCACGTGTCACAATCAAAGTGTGTGGTCGTTACTCGTACGGAGAAATGGTCAAAGGGAGTGCTTTTCTCCGTTTATCGAGTATTTTCCCCAATTTCAGGACTTTTCAATCGCTGAAAAAGGTACAAAAACTCAGCCTGAAACGACAAACTAATTTTTTTTTCAGATGAGTAATGGTTGCGGTGAGTTTGTGCTCACCCCCGAGGATTTTTCCTACTTCAGTATAAAAAAATTATTTCCTTTGAGTGAACCAAAAATGAGCGTTTTGATCACAGCCACCGTGACCGAACAAGGAACCAATAAAATCGAGTTGGCTGTGGCGAAAAGTGTGATTTCGTTGCGTGGTTACAGTCTCAAATTTGTGAAAAAACAAGCGATGTTTTTACCAGGGTTGCCATATCAAGGTTTCGTCCAATTGAATAGCGTTAATGTGGATTTAAAGGGTCACGTGATCGAAATTTGTTACAACATCGCGATTAAAAAAAGCTGGAATTATTTAAATAACGAACAATGTCGCAATTTCACGTTGCAAGGGACTGAAAAATTCATCCCGTTTCATGTTTTACCCCTGAAAAATAACGTCATTCATTTACAGTTAAATGCACGATCGCTGAATTTCAGCAATATCATTGATAATTTTCTCGTGGTGCGATTATTTTCCCCAAGTTTGACTTACATAACAATCGATCAAATTCACCATTCGAATGCGTGTAAATCCGTTCAGCAATTTGCGATTCAATACACCACTGAAAAACTGAAAGAACATGAAAATGTGACGTTTTTTTACATGGTCAAGTCGCGAGGACACATCTACAAATTGAGGAAAATCACGCATAATGTGAGGAAATCCTCACCGAACTATTTCAGCGAGTTTCAGGATATTCTAGGAACGGACCACAAACACACTAGAACTAGTTCTATTGCTAAATTCACGCTGAAATTCAAACTAGACGAGATTTTCAGCAACTATCAACTGCTCATTTATTATGTGAGTCCTGAAGGGGAACTGGCTTCAGCGGTTAAGGAAGTCGAAGTGGAGCCGTGCCTCAAAAACAAGGTAATTTTCAAGCTGAAAAAAGTTTGAAGAAAATTTAAAATTGAAAAAAAATTCTGAAAAAAAAATCTCTAAATTTCCCTTTAAACACTTCTCTAGATGCTTTTAGATACTTTACTTTAAGTTTTTTTAGATCTTTCTCTAGATTCCTTTATAGACTTTTCTTATTTCTAGACTACTCTCAAAATTTTCCTCTATTAGATATAAATTTTTTTATACTCGAAAGATTCTTCTATTATATTCTTTCCTAGATTCTGTTGTGGATCTTTAAATTTTTTTTAGAGTCTTTTCTACATTTTTCTGCTAATTTCCTTCTAAATCATTTTACAGATTCTTCTCTAGATCCTTTATAGACTTTTTTTTTCTAGATTCTTTAAATTTTCCTCTAGATTTCTTTTGTAGATTCTTCTGAAATTCTTCCTAAGATTCTTTCATTGCTAGGCTCTAGACTTTTCTCTAAATTCTTTTATAGATTCTTTTCTAGTTTCCTTTATAAACTTGAAATCTGGATTAACTTCTAGATTTTTAAACATTTCTCCTAATTTCCGTCTAAATTCTTTCATAGATTCTTCTCTAGATTATTCTAAAGATTCTTTTTTGTTTTGTCTTTCTTGAGATTGTTCTCTAGATTCTGTTGTAGATTTTTGTCTTTTCTAAACTCTTCTTTAAATTTCCTTTTAGACTCTTTTGTGGATTTGTGTCTAGATTTTTTTTCTTAATTCTTTAGATGTCTCTCTAGATTTCTTGATAGACTTCTCTTTTTTCTAGAGTATTCTCCAAATTTTCCTCTAGATTTCTTTTGTAGACTCCTCTATAAATTCTTTTATTCCTAGGTTCTTTCTTCTAGAAAGATTCTTCTATTATATTCTTTCCTAGATTCTTTTGTGGATTTATCTCTAGATTTTTTTTTAGAATCTTTTCTACATCTTTCTACTAATTTATTTCTAAATTCTTTTGTAGATTCTTTTCTAGACTTTTCTTGCGATTCTTCTACAGATTGTTTTTTGTTTTGTGTTTCTTTAGATTCTTCTCTAGATCCTTTACAGACTTTACTTTTTTCTAGACTCTTTAAATTTTCCTCTAGATTTCTTTTGTAGATTCTTCGGAAATTCTTCTATAGATGCTTTCATTTCTAGGTTCTTTAGATATTGTATTCTTTCCTAGATTTTTTGTGGTTTCATTTCTAAATTTTTTTCTTAATTTTTTAGATTCTTCTCTAGATATTTGATAGATTTTTCTATTTTCTACACTCTTCTCTAAATTCTTTTATAGATTCTTCTCTAGATTCCTCTATGAACCTGAAATTTGGATTAATTTCTGGATTTTTTTGAAACTTTTTTAAATATTTCTCCTAATTTTCGTCTAAATTCTTTTATAGTTTCTTTTTTTGTTTTGCCTTCCTTCAGATTGTTCTTTAGATTCCTTTGTAGATTTTTGTCTTTACCAGACTCTTCTCTAAATCTCCGTTTAGATTTTTTTGTGGATTTGTCTCTAGATTTTTTCTCAATTCTTTAGATTCTTTTCCAGATTCCTTGATAGAGTATTCTCCAAATTTTCCTCTAGATTTCTTTTGTAGATTCTTCTATAAATTCTTTTATTCCTATGTTCTTTCTTCTAGAAAGATTCTTCTATTATATTGTTTCCTAGATTCTTTTGTAGATTTATCTGTAGATTTTTTTTTAGAATCTTTTCTACATTTTTCTGCTAATTTCCCTCTAATTTTTTTTGTAATTTCTTCTCTAGAATGTTTATACACTTTACTTTTTTTCTAGACTCTTTAAATTTTCCTCTAGATTTCTTTTGTAGATTCTTCTATAAATTCTTTTACATCTAGCCTCTTTCTTCTTTCCTAGATTCTTTTGTGGATTTATCCCTAGATTTTTTAAAAAACTTTTCCACACTTCTTTGTTAATTTTCCTCTAAATTCTTTTATAGATTCTTCTATAAATTGTTTTTTGTTTTGTATTTCTTTAGATTCTTCTCTAGATTCTTTTTTGGACGTTTCTGTATAAAACTGAAATTTAGATCCATTTCTAGATTTTTTTAAAACATTGCCCTCTAAATTCTTCTCGAAATTCTTCTATAGATTTTTTAATTTTCCCTTTAGATCCCCCCGTTTTATTCTTTCTTAGATTCGTTTATAGATTTATTTCTAGACTTTTTTTGAAAAAAAAATTAAAAAAATTCTGAAAAAAAACTGAAAAAATTTCAGGTCGAGGCAAACTGGTCCCACAAACACATCGCTCCCGGCGCCACTGCCTCCCTACTAATCGAGAGCAAATCCGAGTCGCTTTGCTCGGTTATAACCACCGACAAAGCGGTTACTTTCATGGACGATCTCCGTTTCTTGCACGTAAAATCGCTCCTGAAACCGTTTCAGCAACCGAAAGAGACGCCAGAATCGGGCAGAAAATCCTGTATACCACCCGTGAAAAAAAATCGAGAAAAACGATTCGTTTACCCATTTTCGGAGGACTTTGACGCTTACGATATCTTCGAAAAGTTCGGAATTGTGACAATCACAAACTTCAAAATCGTCACAAAGCCCTGTTACACAGGTGTGTGACACTGAAACTGAAAATTGTACGCTAATTTAACGCTTTTCAGGCCCGATTCCGACAACTGAAGACCCAGGTTTTGCTGAAAAAATCAACTTTAAACCTCAAGTTAATTTTCAGTTTCAGTTTCGTCACTAACCGATCAGTATGACATCCAAAATGAGGACAACATAACGCCGATCAGGTCATATTTTCCTGAAACGTGGCTATGGGAAATTGTTCCAGTCAGGTAAAAACTATTTATATACAGGGTGACTCAAAAAAATTGTATATTGTCATTTGAAACTGAAAAAAAATTTCAAAATAGTTTTAATCAAATCAGATTTGGCAACTATAACCCAAAACCAAAAATCGTATGCCTACTGTCAATAATAAAATCTGTATCCCCCCTCCAACAAACATTTTGAATCACCTTGTATATAAAAAAATTTTTTTTTTCAAGGAATGTGTCAGTAATTCACCTTGTTCCAGTCAGGAAAAAAATAGTTATTTACAGGGTGAGTCAAAAAAATTCTATATTGTCATTTGAAAAAAAGTTGAGTCCGGTCCTGCAAAAAAAATTTCGAAATAGTTTTAATCAAATCAGATTTGGCAACTATAACTCAAAACCAAAAATCGTATTCCTACTGTCAATTATAAAATCTGTGTTCCCCTCCAACAAACATTTTGAATCACCTTGTATATAAAAAAAATATTTTTTTCAAGGTGTGTGTCAGTAATTCACCTTGTTCCAGTCAGGTAAAAAATATTTATATACAGGGTGAGTCAAAAAAATTCTATATTGTCATTTGAAAAAAAGTTCGAGTCCGGTCCTGCAAAAAAAATCTCAAAATAATTTTAATCAAATCAGATTTGGAAACTATAACCCAAAACCAAAAATCGTATTCCTACTGTCAATTATAAAATCTATATTCCCCCTCCAACAATTATTTTGAATCCCCTTGTATATAAAAAAAAAATTTTTCAAGGAGTGTGTCGGTAATTCACCTTGTTCCAGGCAGGTAAAAAATATTTATATATAGGATGAGTCAAAAAAAATGTATATTGTCATTTGAAAAAAAAGTTGAGTCCGGTCGTGCAAAAAAAAGATTTGGCAACTATAACCCAAAACCAAAAATCGTATGTCTACTGTCAATAATAAAATCTGTATCCCCCCTCCAACAATCATTTTGAATCACATTGTATATAAAAAAAATATTTTTTTTCAAGGAGTGTGTCGGTAATTCACCTTGTTCCAGTCAGGTAAAAAATATTCATATACAGGGTGAGTCAAAAAAAATGTATATTGTCATTTTGAAAAAAAAGTTGAGTCCGGTCTTGCAAAAAAAAAATTTGGAAATAGTATTAATCAAATCAGATCCGGCAATTATAACCCAAAACCAAAAATCGTATTCCTACTGTCAATAATAAAATCTGTATCCCCCCTCCGACAATCATTTTGAATCACCTTGTATATAATTTTTTTTTTTTTTCAAGGAGTGTGTCGGTAATTCACCGCACTTTACCCCACACCATCACGACATGGACCACCAACGTGATGTGTGTTTCGGCCACAGAGGGCGTTGGTTTTAGTAAAATCACCGAAATTACGACGTTTCGTCCCTTTTTCGTCGACATTTTAACCCCCTATTCGATCAAAAGAGGCGAAACTTTATATTTACACGCAATTATCTTCAATTATCTCACTTACAACATTCCGGTACTGATTTTACCACAACTTAACCAAAAATAAAAATAAAATCCCCTAGATTCGCATAACTTTGGGGACGAGTAATGGCCTAAAACTGATCGAAACGAAGAACCAAAAAAGCTTCTCTTATTGCATTTCGAGCAACAACACTGCAACACACATCTTCGAATTGAAGGGAATTGAGGTTGGGGATGTTAATGTTACTGTGGTGGCAGAACTGGACCCGAATTTCCCCGGCCATTGCGGCCCAGAAATAATAATCAATAAAAGGTTCATTTTTAAATTTCAATTCAAAATAATTCGGTTTTTCCCCCAGAGATGTCGTTTTTAAAACACTCAAAGTGGAGCCTGAAGGATACCCAATTATTACCACCAAATCGGCCCTTTTGTGCGCCTCAGGTACAACACTATACTCAACGACACGAAAAAAGTCACTTTTTTTAGGAAATATCACGTGGGCGCTGCAAATCCCCTCTGACACTGTTGCCAAAACAGCCAAATCAATATTACTCCTCAACGGTGACATTTTAGGCCAAACAATCCAAGTAATTAATTACTTAATTAAATAATTAATTACTAATTGTGATTAAATTTCCAGAATTTGGACGACTTAATTGCAATGCCGACCGGATGTGGTGAACAAATCATGGCCAACTTAGCCCCAAATCTCTACATTTTGAAATACTTAAACGAGACGAAACAACTGTCATCGAGTCTACGTCACAAAATCGCGCGAAATTTGAAAATCGGTTATCAGCGAATTTTAAATTATATTCACAAAGATGGCTCATTTTCAGCTTTCGGTTATCACGATCCTTCAGGTTCGATGTTTTTGACAGCTTTTGTCGTCCGGACTTTACAACACATGAAAAAATTGATTTATGTCGATCAGAAAATAATCGAGAGGGCTGTGTTATGGATTTTGAACCATCAACTCGAAAATGGTTGTTTTAGTACCATGTCACACGTGTTTCAGGATATGGTAAACATTAATTACATTTCTGGTCAAAGTTGGCGCTGTTATTTAAGCACAGGCCACTTTGATTTAGAGAAATCTAGTACTAGTATAGTGTTTCAGGGCGGGACTAGTAGTGAGAATAGTACAGCTGCACTCACCGCCTACGTGATAATAAGCCTCCTAGATGGTGATATTCAGATTCCTGAAAATGTGAAAACAAATGCAAAATATTGCATAAGAGGGTACTATGATCTTGATAGGTACACTTTAGCGATCAGTTCGTATGCACTTCTGAAAATCAATTGGTTCAGTGAGGCTGAAAGAATGCTGAAAAAATTGTTTCAAGTGGCGAATCACAAAGACAACATGATGTGGTGGACCAATCGAGGTTTTTCTTTATTTTTTTATGGAATTGTCAAAACGATCACTTTTAAATCTCGTTTTTTTGTAAAATCATTTTTATCCTTTTTTCTAGATTTTCCTCTAGATTCTATTGTTGTTTTTTCTCTAAATTTCCCTTTAAACACTTCTCTAGATGCTTTTAGACACTTTTCTTTAGGTTTTGTTTGTCTAAACTCTTCTCTAAATCTTTTTATAGATTCTTCTCTAGATTCCTCTATAAATTTGGATTCATTTCTAGATTTTTTTTTAAACTTTTCTAAACATTTCTCCTAATTTCCGTCTAAATTCTTTTATAGATTCCTCTCTAGATTCCTTTATAAACTTTTTTTTATCTAGACTACTCTTTGTAGATTCTTCTATAAATTCTTTTATAGCTAGACTAGAAAGATTCTTCTATTATATTCTTTCCTAGATTCTTTTGTGGATTTGTGTCTAGATTTTTTTAGAAACTTTCTCTTTTTTATCCTAATTTCCTTCTAAAATTATAGATTGTTCTTGAGATTCTTCTATATTTTATTTTTTATATATTTTATAAATTTTTGTTTTGTGTTTCTTTAGATTCTTTTCTAGATCCTTTATAGAGTTTACTTTTTTTCAAGACTCTTTAAATTTTCCTCTAGATTTCTTTTGTAAATTCTTCTGAAATTCTTCTATAGATTTTTTCGTTTCTATGCACTTTAGATTGTTCTATTATATTCTTTCCTAGAGTCTACTTCTCTAGATTCCGTTATAAACTTTTCTTTTTTCTAGACTCTTGACTAAATTTTCCTCTAGATTCTCTTGTGGATTTATCTCTAGATTTTTTCCTTAATTCTTCAGATTCTTTTCTAAATTTTTCTAGATTTTTTCTAAAATATTCTCTGAATTTTCCTCTAGATTTTTCTTGTAGATTTTTTTATACCTAAGCTCTTTCTTCTAGAAAGATTCTTCTTTCCTAGATTCTTTTGTGGATTTGTCTCTAGAATTTTTTTAGAAACTTTTCTCTTTTTCCTTCTAAATTCTTTTGTAGATTTTTCTCTAGATTTTTGTTGGGATTCTTCTATAGATTGTTTTTTGTTTTGTGTTTCTTTAGATTCTTCTGTAGATCCTTTGTTCAGGACTCTTTAAATTTTCCTCTAGATTTCTTTTGTAGATTCTTCTGAAATTCTTCTATACATTTTTTTCGTTTCTAGGCTCGTTAGATTGTTCTATTATATTCTTTCCTAGATTCTTTTGTGGTTTGATTTCTAATTTTTTTTTAATTATTTAGATTCTTCTCTAGATACTTTTCTCTAGATTCCTGGATAGATTTTTCTCTTTTCTAGACTCTTCTCTAAATTCTTTTATAGATTCTTTTATCCCTAGATTTTTTCTTAATTTTTAGATTCTTCTCTAAATCCCTTTACAGACTTTTCTTTTTTCTAGACTACTCTCAAAATTTCCGTCTAGATTTCTTTTGTAGATTTGTCTCTAGATTTTTTAAGATTCTTTTATAGATTGTTTTTTGTTATGCATTTCTTACATTCTTCTCTAGATTCTTTTATGGACGTTTCTGTATAAACCTAAAATTTGGATTCATTTCTAGGTTTTTTACAAACTTTTCTAAACTCTCCTAATTACCCTCTAAATTCTTTTGTAGATTCTCCTCCAAATTCTTCTATAGATTTTTTAGTTTTTCTTTTAGATCCTTGCGTTTTATTTTTTCCTAGATTCTTTTATGGATTTATTTCTAGACTTTTTTTAGTACTTTAGACTCTTTCTAGATTCCGTTATAAACTTTTCTTTTTTCTCTCTTGTCTAAATTTTCCTCTAGATTCTCTTGTGAATTTGTCTCTAGATTTTTTTCTTAATTCTTCAAATTCGTTTCTAGATTTTTTCTAGAATATTCTCTAAATTTTCATCTAGATTTTTTTTATAGATTTTTTTGGACGTAGGCTCTTTCTTCTAGAAAGATTCTTCTATTATATTATTTCCTAGAGTCTTTTGTGGATTTATCTCTAGATTTTTTTACAAACTTTTTCGCACTTCTCTGCTAAATTCTGTTGTAGATTATTCTCTAGATTTTTCTTGAAATTCTTCTATAGATTCTTTTATGGACGTTTCTGTATAAACTTGAAATTTGGATTCGTTTCTAGATTTTTTTTAAACTTCCCACTAAATTCTTTTGTAGACTGTTCTCGAACTTCGATTTTTTAATTTTTCCTTTAGATCCTTCTATTTTATTCTTTCTTAATTTTTTTTATGGAAGACTTTTTTCTTAATACTTTAGATTCTTCTCTAGATTCAGATTCAGTTATAGTTTTTTCTCTTTTCTAGACTCTTGTCTAAATTATCCTCTAGATTCTTTTGTAGATTTAGCTCTAGATTTTTTCTTAATTCTTCCGATTCTTCTTTAGATCCTTTTTTCTAGGTTTTTTTGAGGCTTTTCTAAGTTTTTCTACTAATTTTGCTCCAAATTCGTTTATAGATTCTGCTCTAGATTATTCTTATGATTCGTTTCTAGATTCCTTTATCGACCTTTCTTTTTTTTAGAGTATTCTCTAAATTTTCCTCTAAAATTCTTCTATAGATTCTTTCATAATTAGGCTCTTTCCTTTAGATTTTTCTATTATATTAAATTCTTTTGTAAATTTATCTCTAGATTTTTTTTCTTAATACTTGTGATTATTTTATAGACTTTTCCCCAGATTCTCCTCCCAAATCCTTCCAGATTCGAGTTTTAGAAGTGTTCGTTTTGACACCAACCAATTCAAAAATCCCCAAAATCCCAATTTTAGAAGTGAACGGATCTGAATCAAGTGACATCGAAGTGACAAGCTACATCCTCCTCGCCTTAATTCAACAAAAAAACGAGGAAAACTTAGCCAAAGCCCACTCAATCGTCCAATGGTTATCCTCAAAACAAGGCCATCGAGGCAGTTTCAAATCAACACAAGACACAGTCGTGGCCTTAGACGCCCTAACAAAATACTCACAATTTTTCAACCACAAAACTGACATAAAAATCAACATTGTAGCCTTAGACTCAAACCACAATTTTCGAATAACTGACACCGATCGACTCAAATCCAAGAAAATTCCCCTCAAAAATCCCGCAAATCAAGTGAGAATTGAGGTTCAAGGTCAAGGATGTGTCCTAGTTCAAGCTATAACTTCGTATAATGTCAAAGAATTGAGGAATGGTGAGGCTTTTAAGCTCGATATGGAGGTTTTGCCCGTTTCAAATATTGATCAGTGCTCAATTACGACCTTGGCACCGTGTTTTAAGTACAATGGAATTGACCAAAGGGCCAATATGGCGATCCTGGAGGTCGGTCTTCCCTCGGGATACCAAGCGGATCGGACCTCACTCTACAAACTCATCGACGAATCAAGCAAGTCGAGGAAATTTCCAGTCAAAGTGACCTGTGACCTCAAAATTAAGTTGGCAACACTTTAAGTTGCCAATCACAGGCCACTTTAGCCGGAAAGCAAATTCTAATCAAAGTGGCCTGAGACCTCAAAATTAAGTTGCCAACACTTAATGTTGCCAACTCAATTTCCAAACTACTCTTAATATAGTCAAATCACTAAAATTAAGTTGGCAACACTTAAATCACAGACCACGTTAATCGGAAAGCAAACTCATATTGTGTATAGTCAATTAAATTGGTAACACTTAATATTGCCAACGCAATTTCCAAACCACTAAAATTAAGTTGGCAACACTTAAATCACAATTCGCTTTAATCGGAAAGCAAACTCTAATCAAAGTAGCCTGTGGTTGGTAACATTTAATATTCCCACCCAATTTCCAAACCACTAAAATTAAGTTGGCAACTCTTAAATCACAGATCACTTTAATTGAAAAACAAACTCTAATCAAAATAACGTTTAATATTGTCAATGCAATTTCCAAATCACTAAAATTAAGTTGGTAACTCTTAATAATTTCCAAATCGCTAAAATTAAGTTGGCAACACTTAAATCACAGATCACTTTAATTGAAAAACAAACTCTAATCAAAATAACGTTTAATATTGTCAATGCAATTTCCAAATCACTAAAATTAAGTTGGTAACTCTTAATATAGCCAACGTAATTTCCAAGTCACTAAAATTAAGTTGGCAACACATAAATCACAGATCACTTTAATCGGAAAGCAAATTCTAATCAAAGTGGCCTGTGACTATACTATTTAGTTGGTAACATTTAATATTGCCCACGCAATTTTCAAACCACTAAAATTAAGTTGGCGACTCTTAATATAGCCAACGTAATTTTCAAATCGCTAAAATTTAGTTGGCAACACTTAAAGCAAACTCTTATCAAAATAACATTTAATCCAAACCACTAAAATTAAGTTGGTAACTCTTAATATAGCCAACGTAATTTTCCAATCACTAAAATTAAGTTGGCAACACTTAAATCACAGATCGCTTTAATCGGAAAGCAAACTCTCAAAGTAGCCTGTGACTATACAATTATTGTCATATCAATAAGAAATTACTCCCTAAAATGTAGGGATATTCGAGAATAGGTTGTCATAAATTTGGTTAAGTTGGTTTCTGGTGACAAACAAAAGATATCGTAACTAGTGTCAAAATTTAGATTAAGTCACCTGTCATAATTTAACTGCTAGTTGACAGCAGGTTGACCAACCCTAGATATTCAAAATTACTTCTGAAAATTCTAGTTACAAACAACATGAAAAACGTAATTTTCCTAAAAATTCAAATCCTAGGTGGTAATTTCTTGTTGACAAATCGTTAAGTTGGCATCACTTAATATTGTCAACGCAAAATCACAGCCCACTAATCAGAAATGTGTTTTTTTCAGGTGTGAAAATGTTTGAAGAATTGGAGGAAAAAATCGTTTTGTATTTGACGAAACTTGGAAATCGACAAATGTGTGTCAATTTTAACATCAACGAAAATGCAATTGTCAAATCACGTACGAATTCAACTGTCAAACTTTACGATTATTACAAACCAGAGTATCAAGTGTCACAATTTTACAAAATCAAAGACAATTGCCTGACGAATAGCACAATCCCGGACATTTCGCAGATTGAAGACAAAAGGAAGAAGTTGTCCTAGAAAACAAAACGGTTTGCGACTTGGCTATTTTTAACGTGGTAACCATAGTGATAACTGTTAAAGCACTGGTAACCATAGTAATAGGGATGTGGTAACCATGGTAATGATTGGAATTGAGTCGAGTCGCGAACCTTTCAATGAATTTAATTAAGTTTTAACACACAATATGTTTAATTAGGAAAAAAATTGTCAAATAAATGGGAAAGTGTGAAAAGCGTGTTTTCGGGGCTGTTGAGGTGACCTTGGACGTTTCTGGGTTCATCCACATGACTGTGTCGGGTGAACCTGCTGGTACACATAGGGTTTCAATGTCGCAGCCTTGACACCGAGGTTGGTACAACTGACACATTTCATCTGGGGGGCAATAAAATTCAAGACACGGATCGTCAATTATTCTGCAGTCTTTGTACGCTGAAAATTGGTGTGTTATTTCCTGAAAAATTTCAGGTTTCAGACTCACTATCAATGCAAGTGTTTCGGATGCAACAACCCCCACAACACTGATACGTATCGCCACACTGAAATTTCTCATTATTGGAAATTACCACTGAAAAATATTACCCATTCTCCTCGAGTTTTGCAATTTTGTGCAGAAACGAGCGAAAAAATCAAGCAAACCGTGACTGATGACAACAACATGGCGACGTGATAATTGCACAAAAAACAAACACAAATAGAAAACGCGTTTATTGAAAAATTCCATTCAACCACAAATTTAATTTTTCACAAGGATTAAAATCACGGGTGATTTTTACCAATTCTTGAATTTGATTGGTCCGTTTTGAGCGTATCAAGGCCGTGATTAAAACAGCCCAACCTTCGGCCAAATTCGGATACAAATGAATGGCTTTCTGGGCCACCAGAAGCGCCTCTTCCGTCTCACCCCCCATGAGAAAACACAAAGCAACCACACACAAAATCTAAAAAAAATTATACACAGAGTGTCCCAATAAAAGTTACTTTACCTTTGTGACGTCCGCATTGGTGGTTTGTCCCAACTTCATGGCACTTTGGGCGCACGTGGCCCCCACTTTGGCCCCCTTTCCCCCCCGAATCGCCACCACTGAGAGAGTCAACCAAACTTGGGCCTGGTCGGGGTACAAAAACACTATTTTACTCACCTCACGCACACTTTCCTTATTTTTTCCCTTAAAAAAAAACAATCATACCAACTTAGCAAAGATAAAAACACCACCACAAACTTGTAACAGGTTGAAAAAGCCCGCCAAAACCGCAAAATGCACTCCATTACGCTTCGTGATTGTGTTTCTCAACTCGCTTAAAACCAAATCAGTCATGTTTAAGTCATTGTGGAGCAAACCCAAAGCCGAAATCGCGTAAAACCCCCAAGGAGACGGTTTCTCAACCTGAACACTGAAAAATAAATAAAAATCCCCAAAAAACACCAAATATAGTGGATTTCATTGAAATTGGCATAATGGTTGGCTATGGAATTTCATATTTAGGTTTGTAGCCCTGCGCATGTCCCTAGTATAACAAACACCACTTGGGGTTTTTGATTTTCTTCGATTACTTACTTTGAACTGACATGACTGACATTTGTAATCGTTTTTGGTGTTAAAACAGGGTGTTAAACTTTTTATGGAAAAAACTCTCTCTGAAAACCTCTGAAAGAGGAGAATTTTAACTATACTTTTTATAATATTAATGTGCATCAAGAAGGTTGTAGAAGTCTAAATGCATCTTTAATTTAAAGGCTGGTTCACACAAAAAGTGTCATTAATGTCATTCAGAACAAATTTAATCACATCAATAATGACAAAAATATTTATGTTTCCTACCCTGTTAATTACGTTGTTAATTTTAATTGTTTTTTGCCACCTGGTGTACACATTTATTTAAAAAAATATATATAATTTTTAGGGAAGTTGAGGTTAGGATTGTTCCAATTTTCGCATGGTTGCCACCTTAAAATTATCCTTTTCAACGACTGCTTTGATGAACATTAATATGAAAACGAGTATATCTTAACCTCACTTTTTTAGTGACAAATTTAGTTCCTTAGCCTTTTTCACATCTAAAGCGCGGTTTACACAGTCATAGCCTACTGTTTGCTAATTTGGTGTTAAAACAGGGTGTTAAACTTTTTATGAAAAAAACTCTCTCTGAAAGACTATAGTCTTTATAATATTAATGTGCATCAAGAAGGTTGTAGAAGTCTAAATGTATCTTTAGTTTAAAAACCGGTTCACACAAAAAGTGTCACTAATGTCATTCAGAACAAATTTAATCACATCAATAATGACAAAAATCTTTATGTTTCCTACCCTGTTAATTACGTTGATAATTTTAATTATTTTTTTGCTACCTAGGGTACACATTTAGGGAAGTTGAGGTTAGGATTGTTCCAATTTTCGCATGGTTGCCACCTTAAAATGATCCTTTTCAACGACTACTTTGATGAACATTAATATGAAAACAAGTATATCTTAACCTCACTTTTTTTAGTGACAAATTTAGTTCCTTTTTCTTTTTCACATCTAAAGCGCGGTTTACACAATCATAGCCCACTGTTTGCCAATTTCACTGAAATAATTATACCTCTGAAATAACAAAGTTTTAGCCGCTTCAGGCCCCTCAAACATGTAGGCCATTGAGGCCAAAGCCACCAATAAATTCGACTGCAAATTCGAATCCGACGACAGCCAATGCAAAGTCGATTCGTACACTTCGTACGATTCTTTGTAAAGTTTATCTGTCAAAATAATAAAACTGTCAAATTAAAAAAGAAACTGTCAAATTTCCATCTAAGCAACACTACTATATTTGCCTAGCAACGAATTATATTAGTTGCTAGGTAACGACTATATTGCCTAGCAACATGTGTAAAATTGCGGCAAATTCGAACCTTTGAAGAGTGCGAGGGCAAGGCCGCTTCCGCTGTTGAAAGTGGCAGCTTCGACTTTGGTAAAAGTGTCGATTGCTTGTTGATATTTGCCTAAAGTGGTGAGAATTCGTCCATAGTTGACTCGGGCGCAATCTCTTTGTTTTTTATCTGAAAGTGTGAGGGCGTTTTTGAAGGCTTCTAAGGCCCCCAGTTTGAGGCCCATTCGTTCTTTGAGAATTCCGAGCATGTTCCATGCTGTAGCGTTCATTGGATCGTGTTCTGTAATGAACGAAAGTTGACACATTTCAAACTAGTACACGACATACATTAAGATTTTCAGAAATTAAAAGTGGTCCAAATGATAATTACTCGGACAAACAAGACAATAGAAAATCTTTTCGTCGTATATAAGAAACAGAAAAGGGAGAATATTGACAAGTTGGGTGAAACAACTGTGAAAATGTGGTTAAAAATCTGTGTTTTTTTGGTCATAATTGAGACGAGTTTTGGCCAAAGTAACAATTTTAGTTTAAATGTCAACAAGAGACGCCCTTATCACGATTATGACCCCTATTATCATCACTACCACCACGAATTACTCTGTAAGTTGTTACAATCAAATGTCAATGACTTATTTCCCACCTTGTGTGTAATATACTATTGATTAATAATTTTTTTTTGACTAAATTATAACAGATGGCGGCGGTCTCCTCTACTATTTAACGTTCATTTTAATCAAAGTTAAGGTCGTTTTCGTGCTTGGAACAATTTTCACGATATTTCTAGTCGCTGGAAAATTCTTCGCCATAGTCAAATACGCTGAATATATGAGTAAGTTTCGCTGAAATTGCGACAAAACCTGAATTTTTTTTTTCAGAATCGCCGAAACACCACGAACCTGAAAAAGTCTACGTCCATGAACCCCCTCATTTCGACTCTTATTCCCCACATTATGGCCGAAATTTCCCCAATTATTACGACATTTTCGTGAAAATCCTCCAAAATGCCAATCTAACAGACACGGCTTTCCGAAGAATGAAACTAAATTCGGTGGCTTGTAGAAAAAAATTCGTATGTAAGACGGACTACAAGGCGAAGTTTAGTCAAATTTTAGCTACGACTTTGACAATTTTCACGGACGAAAACTACGACAAATATAAAACGAACACTACAATTGAGTCGTTACAAGATTGTGATAAGTTGTATCAAAGTTGTAGAAATAATAAAATTTAATTTATTTCATTTGGTGTTTTAATTTTTGCAAATAAGTTGAGTCAATTTGACACATTTAGAACTAGTTTAGTGACACAAATTGAAAGCAAAAGTCGCTCAGTGATAATCACATAAATAAACAATCAAGAGAAAATCGTGATATTTATAAGAAAACACAAATGCGAACAAGTCATTCCGTTCAAAATGTCCTGGAAAAACGTTTTAATTTTTCTCACAATTTTAACAATTTCGTATTGTGACAGTGCTAATAATTACAGTGTAAATGTATACAAGAAAAAACCCCACAAAAGCCATTTTTACTACCACTTACTTTGTAAGTTGGCAACAATTGTGACATTTAAATTTGACAGATCAGAAATATCAATTTTTTACTTTTAGACGGTGGCATTTTCTACTACTTGGTTTTTATCGCATTAAAAGTGAAAATAGCCCTCGTTGTTGGTACCATTGTGACTGTAATAATGGTAATTGGTAAATTTTTCGCACTCATTAAATACGCCGAATTTTCAAGTAGTCGTAAGTATCACATTTGCAAAAATCACTTTTAATATTATTTTCTCAAGGAACGAGTGCCCCAAAGCCGGAAAAAATTTATATTCAACCCGGGTTTAATCACGGTCACTTTTCCGATATATCAGTGGATAAATTACCTCCAAATGCACAAATTGCTGGAAGACCATACTCACCACCCCAGGAACAATTTTCTGCTGAAATTGCAGCGCCCCCTTCCTACCCTTCGCCGTATTCTGGACATTTTTCAGATATAACAGTGGATAAATTACCGCCGAATGCGGTGGTAGCTTCAGGGGGGCCTTATTACGACTCACCTCCCCCACAACAATATTAACTCGACTTAAAACCGAATAAATTAACGACTATATATTTTCATGTCCCTGACGAGTGTTACGCCTTTGACTTTCCGCACTTGTGCCAATTTCATTAATAAAAAAATAACTAACCAAACAAAACGATGAAAATGAGTCTAAATAAAACGAACAATAAAAATTTTGTTATGTACCACACGCTGAAGAAGAGATACGAATTTTTTAATTTGTGATACGACTGATACGCCACTGATTTTTCGGTATTACGCACTTTCAAAACTATTTGGCAAATGAATTTTGATAATTTTATCTAAGAAAAACGTAAATAAACACCAAAAAACAATTCAGGTGAGTCACAGATTATATAATAATAGTGTTTTCTTGCGAAAATTAAATAAAATTGTTTTTTTTTGAGAAACGAAAATACACCCCCTAACCTCACTTTTTCTGAATTTTTAAAAAACACGAAAGAAATTATGTTTTTCTACAAAAAACGTAAAAAAAACGGTAAAACACAGTCACAATTGAGTCACAAATAGTCTAGTAATAGCGTTATTATTGCAAAAATTAAATAAAATCATTTTTATTTCTCAAATGAAAATAAACACCCTAACCTCAATTTTTCTGAATTTTTCAAGAAACACGAAAGAAATTATTTTTGCTACGAAAATCGTAAATAAACGACAACAAATAGTCACAGGTGAGTCACAAATTATGTTATTATTGCAAAAATTACTATAGTTTTTATTTCGTAAGTTCCTAACCTAATTTTTTTAACTTTTCAATAAAAAATGATTTTTTTCTACGAAAAACGTAAATAAACGCCAAAAAATCGTTACAGGTGAGTCACAAATTATGTAATAAATAGTGTTTTCTTGCGAAAATTAAAAAAAATTGTTCTTTTTTGAGAAACGAAAATACACCCCTTAACCTCACTTTTTTTAAAATTCTCACCTGTATACCACGAAATAACATCACAAGCCACTGGAATCGCATGCATATTGTGTATGGAATAGACAAGGGTGTCCACGGGTGACTCCTTTAACGTTCTACACACCCAATGTGCGTACCCCAAAGCCCCTTGTTTATGTACCCCCAATTGGGTACTATGTCTAAACAAATCCATTGCATCTTCGTGATGTAAAGTCTCGGCTAAAAGGGCCTAACCAGAGAATATTTCACACAAAATTAATTCAATAAACCTGTCCAATCCAACTATTGACATAATTAGGGTCCGATCTTTGGGCTTGCGAAAACGCCTCATTTGCCAATTTAAAATCACCGAGAATAAAATACAAAGTACCTAAATTCGTCCACGAGACGGCACTGTGATGGTCAGCAATGACAGCTTTAATAAAACAATGTTGGGCGAGTTTGTAATTTGGGGGATCTAAAAACAGTCATAAAATAATTGATTTTTTCTACAACTTTATACCTGAATGCATCGCGACGTTGCCTAAACCATTCCAGTGTTGCCAACACGTCGGATTATTCAAAGTACAATATTGTAGAATAGTTTGGGCTTTAGAAATCAACTCATTTGATTCACTAGCAAGTCCATGTGTCAAATAACAAATGGCCAAATCGTGCCAAATCAGAAAATTATCCTCAACTAAACTCAAACTTTTGAAAAAACACCGCGCTGCCAACGTGAACAAATCAAATTTCTCCAGAACTGTATCACCCCCTATTTCCCACCCCTCAACGAACGATTTCGACACCAAAAGACACGAATGCTTCTCGGGTAAAGCCCCCACAAGTAGACAACTGTCACCCAACAATTTCCAGAGACACGACAAGTCGCTACGTTGACTCAAAGCCCTGAAAAATAAATTAGTGAAAAAAACAAAAACCCTAGGAATTATTACATAATCAAGTGATCGGTGGCAACTTGTGCGTGGTCTCGACTAGTCCCCAATCTCTGCTCCTTGTAACAATTCCTCGCTTGTAAAAGACAAGTCTCAGCCATGCCTTTCAAAGCCGGCACATAAAACTTATTAAATTTTAAAATTTCCACAAAATCAACTCTTGCTTCGACAAATTCACCCAAAATTTGCTTAATATGACCTTTTTGTAACAAGGGATATAAAGCTTCACCCAAACTCGACGTTTTCTCGTAACATTTTAAAGCCGATGTGTAAGCACCTTTAGCCAAATATGCATCAGCGAGGGATTCCCAACAATGACTAAAATTAAAAAAAAAAAAAAAATGACCAAACAAAAGTGTGACATAATTACGCATTATTTTCATCAATTCGAATCACAAAACGTAAATTTTTTATGGCTTCATCATAATCCAACTGTTCTAAATGGTGTAAACCGAGTTGCATCCAAGCCCAAGAATTTTTAACATTAATTGTGCCACTCGTGAGGGCTTGCAACAGGTTTAAATTTGCCGCCTAAAAAAATTGCAAGACTCATCGGACGTTGCTAAGTAACAGAAGGCAGTTGCCTAACAACGAATATTAATTTTAGTGACAATTGATTTTAAGTTGGCAACTGCCTTCAGTGTTGCCAATTCACTGAAATTTACCCAATTTTGCAATTTTCGGTAAATTTTGCTCAATTCAATGCCCGCCTCTGCGCAACATTTATTGATTTTGAAGGCCTTTTCGTAGCAACGTCGGGCCTTATCAAAATCGTTGTTTTTCTTGTAGAAATGCCCCAAAAACAGGAAACATTTGTAGTTGTTGGGGTCTAATTTTGTGGCCTTCAAAAATGGGGTTAAACTTTTCTCGTAGTGGCCCCAATTCCAGTAAATTGAACCGATTTCGAGCCAACTTTCACAAGTCTCGTTGTTTTCCTTCTCGAGAATTTCCAAGGCTTCTGAATATTTTTCCTGTTTGTGTAGTAATTGTGCTTTGAGTAAATTGTGTGTTTTATCATCTTTGAGTAGTAATTTAGCCTCAGTGAAGTTTTTGAGACTGATATGGGCCCGAATTAGGTGTTGGAGACACTTCGATTTCGCGTCGTTTTCAAGCTAAAAATTTGAATTTTTTAAAACGAAAAGTCACTAAATCGTACATTTTCAAACAAGTTGAGGGCTTTCCTCAGCTCGTGTTCTTCCCCCGATTTCGACAACACCTCAATGAGCAAAACATCGACTTTTTTCCTCAAATTCTCCCGATTTTGACACAACTTTTCGAGTTTATTCGCCGCATTGATGGCCTCGTCGCACAACCCGAGTTGCATACAACATTTCAGGAGGAGAATCCAGGCGTGGACTAGACCGGGTAAAACCCCCACGACTCTCTCCAGTGTTTCTTTCGCTTCGGGGATTTTTTTCGTTTCAAATAGTAAAATACTTTGGGTGAATAGCCCCGTCGCTGAGGGTGTCTCCAAGCCACAAAGCATTTCGCTGAATTTCGCAATGTTTTCCTCAGATTCGATCAAAGTGTTTGACTCGACGTAAATTTCGTTGAAAATTTTACAAATCCAACGTAACGAAATCCAGTCTGAGTCGAATATTGAGTGCATTTTTTTGGCCTGGGTGAGTAATTCCCCCGATTTGTTTTGTTTATACAAAAGATTTAAATAATCGCTGAAATATTTCGTACAGACGGTTTTCGGGTTGGCCAAGGCCAAGGTCAAGGCTTCCTCGTACTGAAAACTGAATTAAGTGTAAGTTTCAGGGGTTTGAGTCATACAATTGGGAGCAAATCCGGCGATAAAATTTCAGGTTTCAGGATATTAATCAGAGAAATTGCCAATTCTGTAGTGTCACATTTACCACTTTTCAGGACTGAATAAATCGCATTTGTGATTTTACCCAAAACACCAAATTCGCACAAATTTGATAGTTTTTGTACACATTCGAGGATTTTTTTCTCGTCCCTGAAACAATTTTTTTTTTCATGAAAAATTTCTGAAACTCAAATACTTACGTTTCAATGTTAATTAACGAAATGTAAGCATCAATTAAATCAAGTTTAGTTTCTTGTGTGTCCACTTTTTCATAGTAATTTATTAAGCCGTTCCAAGCCAAAGAATTTGCCGGATTTGAGTCAATTGCCCCCTGAAACGCCTTCAAAGCCTTCGAATTTTGACCGGTTTCCTGAAATGAAACCCCCAGGAAGACAAGAGCCATGTAATTGGTCTTGTCTTCTTTCAGGATTTGCTGAAAAAACAGACACTTGTACCAACCGAATTTTTACAACTCTAAATCTACTAAAATATTCACTCACCTTGCACAATTTCAAAGACGTTTCATAATTCTTGTTTTTTATCGCTTCGCGGGCCTCCTTTAACACTAATTTCGAGTCTTTCATGATGATTACTGAGGAAGAACCTAACCTAAAAAAGCACTTTTTCGTCACTCTCGCCACGAAATCAAGCCGAAATATAATAATGAATCGCTAACACTTTGTATTAATTATTAAAATTAATTGTTTTATTAATTTAATTACAAAAACCCGAGTTTGTTGGAACTTCTTTGAGGTTAGAATGTGTTTTTAGTGGCAAATAAAAACTCCCTAAGAAGTAAGAAGCAATTTTTTTAGTTTTTAAAAAATGCTGTTTTGACTGAGACTTGAAATGATTTTATTAGAATTTGAATTGAAATTACAGTTTCTACATAACTATTTCCAATTTAAACATTTTAAAATTGTATTTTGGAATATATTTGACAACTGTCACGTTATTTCTAACCTCAAAAAATTATTCCCAAATTTTGTTCGTTTTTTTTTTTCAAAAAATGTCAGACGCTGAAATAGCTGAAAAAACTTGGGCGAAAATTGAGGAAAACGTGAAACGCATTGGTCTCGGCGACGGATTATCCAATGGAAAAGACAGTAATTTTCAGGATTATTTCGACAAGGGTTTTACACTTGGATTTTTCAGCGGCTATCAAATCGGACATTACAAAGGGGCTGTTTTGTATGTAACTAACCAAAAAAAATAGTAAAAAAACGTTTTTTAGTTCTAGAAACATGATCGAAAGCCCACTTTTGGCCCACCCAAAACTAGGCTGGTGTCAAATCTGCCAAAACAACTCAGGAGGTGATTTATCACAAATTGTAGCCAAACAAAGGGATTTTTGTAATAAAAATTTAGAAGAATTGAGAAATAAAACCCCGATAGATTAATGAGTTTATTTAGGAATTTTTGGTTTTTGTACTCAATGTTGCCAATACATTTTTAATAAAACTGTGATAAAACGAGCTATTATTTATTTAGAAAATTGTTTAAAACAACTAATGAATAAAAATCATTAGTAGTATTCATTTAATTACGAAAAATCTGAGTTTATTGAAACTTCTTTGAGGTTAGAATGTGTTTTTCTAGTGGCAAATAAAAACTCCCTAACAGGAAGAAGCAATTTGTTCAACTTTTAATAAATGCTGTTTTATAGACTGAGACTTGAAATGATTTTGTTAGAATGTATATAAATAATTGAAATAACAATTTAAACATTTTAAAATTGTATTTGAAATCTCTTGACACGTTATTTTAAACCTCAAAAACTTATTCCCAAATTTTCAGAATTATTTCGACATGGGTTTTACACTTGGATTTTTCAACGGCTGTGAAATCGGACATTACAAGGGCCCCCAAATTTACAAGATTTAAGTGACTTTAGGGATTTTTTGGTTTCTGTCTTCAAGGTTGGCAATACAAATTCAACGAAACGAGTTTATTATTATTTATTTAGAAAATTGTTTAAAACAAGTAATGAATGAAAATCATTATTACAAGGATATTTTTTCACACATATTTTACAAAAATAGTTTTGTGTCTCAAAGTTTGTTTGGAGTTTTAAGTTTGTACTGATTTTTTACAAAAAAAACAAATATTGAAACGACTAATTATCATTTTGAAAGAACACTAATTTACCGACTAAAAGAAATAATTCCTTTAAACTATTTTTCTAAAATATATCTGCTTGAAATAATTTTGTATTGCCAACCTTGCGTCCAAACCCCACAAAATCCCCAAATGACATTTCTCATTTGTGTGATGACTTTGTAGTTTGTTGCACTTTTGCACAAAGCTCCCAAAAACTTATTAAAATGGTAAGTGTTTCCACTTTTCGTCAATTCCCCTCAACTGTGCCCCCCTTAGGGTCAAAGTCAGTCAGGCCCCGGCGGGGGCGACAAGAAGGAGGAAAAAGACAAGAAGAAGAAATACGAGCCCCCGATCCCCACTCGCGTCGGTAAGAAAAAGCGCCGTACTAAGGGCCCCGACACCGCCTTGAAACTCCCCGTCGTGACCCCCCACACTCGCTGCCGCCTCAAACTCCTCAAACTGGAGCGCATCAAAGACTACCTCCTCATGGAGGAGGAGTTCATCCGTAATCAGGAGCGCCTCAAGCCCCAGGAGGAGAAGAACGAGGAGGAGCGCTCCAAAGTGGACGATTTACGAGGTACCCCCATGTCAGTGGGGAATTTAGAGGAAATCATCGATGATAACCACGCAATTGTCTCAACTTCGGTTGGTAGTGAGCACTACGTCAGTATTTTGTCTTTTGTTGACAAAGACCAACTCGAACCGGGCTGTTCGGTGCTCCTCAACCACAAAGTCCACGCCGTTGTGGGGGTCCTAGGGGACGACACCGACCCCATGGTGACGGTAATGAAGCTCGAGAAGGCCCCCCAGGAGACGTACGCCGACATTGGGGGCCTCGACACCCAAATCCAGGAAATCAAAGAGTCAGTTGAACTGCCCTTGACCCACCCCGAGTACTACGAGGAGATGGGGATTAAGCCCCCCAAAGGGGTGATTTTATACGGGCCCCCAGGCACAGGGAAAACCCTTCTGGCCAAAGCAGTCGCCAATCAAACCTCAGCGACTTTTCTCCGAGTTGTTGGAAGCGAACTTATACAAAAATATCTCGGGGATGGCCCCAAATTAGTGAGGGAATTGTTTCGTGTTGCTGAGGAACATGCACCGTCGATTGTTTTTATTGATGAGATTGATGCTGTGGGGACGAAACGTTATGATTCGAATTCGGGAGGGGAGAGGGAAATACAGAGGACTATGCTTGAGTTGCTCAACCAATTGGATGGGTTTGATTCAAGAGGGGATGTTAAAGTAAGTGAGAAAAAATTTTGTATGTGATTATTGTATTTGTATTTTTTTCAAGGTTATTATGGCGACCAATCGGATTGAGACTCTTGATCCTGCACTGATTCGGCCTGGACGTATTGATAGGAAAATTGAGTTTCCTTTGCCTGATGAAAAGACGAAAAAGAGGATTTTTAATATTCATACGTCGAGAATGACGTTGGCTGAGGATGTTAATTTGCAAGAGTTGATTATGGCCAAGGATGATTTGTCAGGGGCTGATATTAAAGTATTTTTTGTTTTTTTTTTTTGGGGTCAAATTTTATTGTGTTTTATTTCAGGCGATTTGTACCGAAGCTGGGTTGATGGCGTTACGTGAGAGAAGAATGAAGGTCATGAATGAAGATTTTAAAAAGTCGAAAGAGAGTGTTTTGTATAGGAAGAAAGAAGGGACTCCTGAGGGGCTCTATCTTTAGATAAAATTAACGTTTTCTATGTTTTTTTGTGAAAGAATAAACTTACTTACTCCATCGGTGTCTTATTTCTTAAATCTTGTATATTTTTATTACAAAAATCGAGTTTTTCTCTTTGCTTTTTCAATAAAACCATATAAAGCATCGTCTTCTTAAAGAACACTAATTTACCGACTGAGAAATAGTTCTTCCGGACTATTTTTGTAAAATATATCTAAAAGATTATACTTGAAATAGTGATTTTTATTCATTATTTGTTTTAAATAATTTCTTAAATAAATAATAAACTGGTTTTGTTGAAGTTATATTGCCAAACTTGAAAACAGAAACCAAAAAATCCCTAAACTCACTAGATTTATTTTACAAAATCTTGTTTAAAAATCACAAAAGAATTGATATTGATGTTATTTTGTTTGTTTTACTCGATTTAACTACTTTTTGAGCAAAATAAGCTGAAAAACCACAAAATTTCGCCGAAAATGCTTACAACTTGTTTTTATACCAAAATCTCAGATTTCGCTAAAACAAACTAAAAAATCAAGAAATTGCGTCTAGAATTACATTTATTTTGCGTTTCTCGAGCATTTTAGCACTTTTTCAGCTAGAAACATAATTATTTCGCAACATTTTGTTGACAAATGACAGAAATAACCCGAATGCACTTCATTTTTGCTCTTGTCATGAGTTTAAACGGATTTTTAAGCGTTTTTCGCATCCCAAATAATAAACAATATAAAACATAATTAAAATATATTTCAATTTCGGTCGATAAAACAGTGTTCTGTCACACTCGTGACCTTGAAATTTTTTTCAAAAATTAACAAACTTAACTTTCTCGTTTAAAACCCTATCAAGATGTGCAAAATCATGTTGCAAAAAATGCACCCCTTTCATCGACAACACCACCAACTRATTAACCCCATCCTCGATCAAGTCCACATATTTCATACTAATAATAGGCGACGCAAACATTTTCAATTCTACTAAAGACCAACCCTCAGGATTGCGTTTATACAACATGATTTCCTAAAATCAAGGGGATTCACCRACTTTTTWACTTATTGAAACAATTAATCACCTCTGAACTGTTCCCAACTAGGATTTCTTTTTCCCCATCAAAATCAACATCAGCGACTTGACAACAAGTCAAAACACATGTATAGTCATGCCGGGGCAAGGAAACATAATTACTTAAACCATAAATTTGAACGTTCCTAAAAAAAAGTCTTTGAAACTCATCTAAACAAAAATTCAACTCACTGGAACAAAACTGGGGGCAAAATTGTGTTAATGATGACTAGATTTAAGCCACAATTTGACGTGGGGTACAGCCTCAAGTGTGAAATAAAATTATTCAACTTTGTTGAGAAATTAAACACAAGTTTGTTTGTTTTTACACAAACTTGAGTGAGTCTCACGTAACCACACTCACACGCCAGGGCTGTGACACGTCTGGAAAGAATTAAATTACTTTAGTTGTAGAAAAAAATGTGTTAGTTACTCGGAATAATCGGCGTTGTAGTAAACATCAATCCAGATGGCGGGACTTGGTGTTTTGTTAAATTCGGGGAAGTACTCCTTATCTACTTCTTTGTACAAATGATCAGTGGTGTATTCGCGATAAATGTGAATTTGATTGTCACTTCCTGATAATAAAAAGACTATTTCTTGGGTTGAAATTCGCTCATTGTCCCAAATTACGAGTTCAGTGTGGGTGAGTTGATAAGGGGTGAAGCTTAACTCAACGTTGAGGCAATTTTGGGCGATATTATCGATATTGAAATCGTCGTTTTCCTCCCARTCTGAATAAATGTTCAAGTAGTATTCAAACGACGAATCTAACAAATTACTGTTCTACAATTTCAATTATTATTCAAGAAATTGATTTAAAAAACCAATACTTTAATTATTGTGATTCCAATAACGAATTCATTTTTCGTTGCAGATTTGTTGAAAGCATCAAGTGAAATAATTTCAGCACCACCTGAAACCAACCATGAAACAGTGCTAAATTCCTACTAGTAGTTACTTGGTATGTAAGTAAATGACACTTCCTTGGTTGTGGGGATGAGACAGCCCCCCGATTCCTGGTATTCTATACAAAAAATGTCGCGTTTTAATGACGCGACTAGGATTTTATGGGGGCAATTTGACGCTTCCAGATAAACAAGAGTGTAAATGTTGCCCTGGGAGGGCAAGTGGAAATAATGACTCTCCTCCAACTGGTCCATGGAAAATTTTGAGGTTAACAGCTGTCAAAAAATTACAAACGAAAAATTCTAGTTTTGATTGATTGTAACAATTAAATACATGGAGACGCTAAATTAGGAATTTGTTTTAATATAAACTCAAATTAATACGAAGAAATACATTTATATTAGAAAAAATTTAAATCTCAATCGATAAAACAGTGTTCTTCCGAAGTTAGGTTATGTATCAAATGTTTTGTGTTATTCTTCTTCTGTAGTTTTGATTTGAAAAAAAAAACAAATACAAGGGGACTCTAAATTAAGAATTTATTTTTGTACAAACTCAAATTAATCCGAAGAAAGTTTATATTGATAATAAAAAAATAAATCTCGATCGATAAAACAGTGTTCATCCGGGACCGTTGACTTGTTGAAAAATTAGGTTATGTGTCATTGTTTATTTTCTCAAAAATCAAGAAAAAACTCGTTATAATGAAACTTGTGTGTAGTGTTCGTGTCGGGAATCGTTTATTGCCGACTTTGGCTCTAAGCTCCAAACAAAAATATGCCCAATCAACGCTTGCATTGTGCAAACACCCAAATACCGAAGACTATTGCATTATATTATTTACAAGTCAGAACAAAAATGGTACAAAATACGGAGTTCGTGGGAACATTAGTCAAATATTAACCCGTTTTATAAACGATGGAAAAGCCACAATCCAGTTTAAAGCGCCCCCACACGACCTATTTGTGCAAAGTGAAGTGATCCAATTGAAGAGTTTTCTGCACTTATTAAAGCGAGTTTTGGAGAATAAAATAGGGCCGAAGGAATTGACCTGTTCTAGTCTATCAGTGACTGCAGTCAAAGACATCGCCCCCAAGAAACTAGTGATACGGAATCGCTCCGAATACCCAGCTCGGGGGTTCCCCCGAACTCTGGAATCCCTCCACATTAATGACATCCAGCGGTGCTCCCTAGACCGAGGCATTTTGCACTTAACCAAACTGAAAATCCTCGATTTAAGCCAAAATTGCATCGAATTTATCCCCGAGGAACTCAACCAATTGCATTTAAACGAAATAAATTTATCCTCAAACTGTTTAAATAAGTCCAAACCGAGACAGTGGGCGTGGCTGGGGGGCAACCTCTCCAAAACCCTCACTTCACTCAACTTGGAATCAAACAATTTGAAATACCTCCCGGACCAAATAGTCAAACTTTACAATTTAATCACTCTAAATGTGAATCAAAACGAATTGAGGTTTCTCCCTCATGGTATTTGTAATTTACGCAAATTGAGGACTCTAATCGCGTCAAATAATCGATTGCTGGTATTACCAGGGAGCATAAAACGGTGTCGTTTCAAACTTTTGAGTTTCTTCAATAATAATTTTGAGGCTAAGAAACGGGAGAAAATCACACCTCCCACACAATTTTCGGTGCTTTCACTCAAAGAGTGTGCAGGGAGGAGGGTCCTTGAACGGAGATTGTTTTACTCAAAAGAGATCATTCCTCAAACTCTTGTCGCCTACTTGGATTATGCGAAATATTGCGAGTGTGGAAAGCCCTGTTTTGAGGGTTTTATTAGAATCCCGGGGCATTTTTCAGTCTCAACCATAACCGAAGATTTAGTCATGTCGACAAATTCAAGTGTGTTGCCACTTGATTGCTATTTTTGCTCATTGAGGTGTTTTCGGGCTTGGTATTATGCCCCGAGACGAGTTCCGGTTATCAGATAGGACGCAATTGACCTAAGTTAGGTTGTGATATGTATTATACTGTGTTTTTTCTACGACTTGTTCCAAATAAATGTGTTTTCTACTTGTTTCTTGTTTTATTTAAGCCGGGGAATCCCCGCAAGGAGCACTGTTTTATCGACCGAGTGAAGTTTCATCATTATAGTTTATATTTATTTTAAAGTCTTTATGGATTTAATTTCTTCTCATAATTTCATAATTTTTTAAACTAGACTGGGGACTCTTTGTAGACACACAAGTTTTATTCTAATGATTTTTTTGGTGATTTTTGAGAAAATAATCAGTTACTTTAAACAAGTCAACGGTCCCGAAAGAACACTGTTTTATCGATCGAGATTTATTTTTTTATTATCAATATAAACTTTCTTCGGATTAATTTGAGTTTGTACAAAAATAAATTCTTAATTTAGAGTCCCCTTGTATTTGTTTTTTTTTTTTCAAATCAAAACTACAAAAGAAGAATAACACAAAACATTTGATACATAACCTAACTTCGGAAGAACACTGTTTTATCGATTGAGATTTAATTTTTTTAATATTAATAGAAAGTTTGTACTGAAACGATTTCAGACACGAACACGACACACAAATTTCATTTTAATGAGTTTTTTAGTGATTCTTAAAAAAATAATCAATTACACTTAACTTAATTCACTTAAACCAGTCAACGGTCCCAAAAGAACACTGTTTTATCGATTGAGATTTAAATTTTTTCTAATATAAATGTAGTTTCTTCGTATTAATTTGAGTTTATATTAAAACAAATTCCTAATTTAGCGTCTCCATGTATTTAATTGTTACAATCAATCAAAACTAGGATTTTTTCGTTTGTAATTTTTTGACAGCTGTTAACCTCAAAATTTTCCATGGACCAGTTGGAGGAGAGTCATTATTTCCACTTGCCCTCCCAGGGCAACATTTACACTCTTGTTTATCTGGAAGCGTCAAATTGCCCCCATAAAATCCTAGTCGCGTCATTAAAACGCGACATTTTTTGTATAGAATACCAGGAATCGGGGGGCTGTCTCATCCCCACAACCAAGGAAGTGTCATTTACTTACATACCAAGTAACTACTAGTAGGAATTTAGCACTGTTTCATGGTTGGTTACAGGTGGTGCTGAAATTATTTCACTTGATGCTTTCAACAAATCTGCAACGAAAAATGAATTCGTTATTGGAATCACAATAATTAAAGTATTGGTTTTTTAAATAAATTTCTTGAATAATAATTGAAATTGTAGAACAGTAATTTGTTAGATTCGTCGTTTGAATACTACTTGAACATTTATTCAGAYTGGGAGGAAAACGACGATTTCAATATCGATAATATCGCCCAAAATTGCCTCAACGTTGAATTAAGCTTCACCCCTTATCAACTCACCCACACTGAACTCGTAATTTGGGACAATGAGCGAATTTCAACCCAAGAAATAGTCTTTTTATTATCAGGAAGTGACAATCAAATTCACATTTATCGCGAATACACCACTGATCATTTGTACAAAGAAGTAGATAAGGAGTACTTCCCCGAATTTAACAAAACACCAAGTCCCGCCATCTGGATTGATGTTTACTACAACGCCGATTATTCCGAGTAACTAACACATTTTTTTCTACAACTAAAGTAATTTAATTCTTTCCAGACGTGTCACAGCCCTGGCGTGTGAGTGTGGTTACGTGAGACTCACTCAAGTTTGTGTAAAAACAAACAAACTTGTGTTTAATTTCTCAACAAAGTTGAATAATTTTATTTCACACTTGAGGCTGTACCCCACGTCAAATTGTGGCTTAAATCTAGTCATCATTAACACAATTTTGCCCCCAGTTTTGTTCCAGTGAGTTGAATTTTTGTTTAGATGAGTTTCAAAGACTTTTTTTTAGGAACGTTCAAATTTATGGTTTAAGTAATTATGTTTCCTTGCCCCGGCATGACTATACATGTGTTTTGACTTGTTGTCAAGTCGCTGATGTTGATTTTGATGGGGAAAAAGAAATCCTAGTTGGGAACAGTTCAGAGGTGATTAATTGTTTCAATAAGTWAAAAAGTYGGTGAATCCCCTTGATTTTAGGAAATCATGTTGTATAAACGCAATCCTGAGGGTTGGTCTTTAGTAGAATTGAAAATGTTTGCGTCGCCTATTATTAGTATGAAATATGTGGACTTGATCGAGGATGGGGTTAATYAGTTGGTGGTGTTGTCGATGAAAGGGGTGCATTTTTTGCAACATGATTTTGCACATCTTGATAGGGTTTTAAACGAGAAAGTTAAGTTTGTTAATTTTTGAAAAAAATTTCAAGGTCACGAGTGTGACAGAACACTGTTTTATCGACCGAAATTGAAATATATTTTAATTATGTTTTATATTGTTTATTATTTGGGATGCAAAAATGAAGTGCATTTCGGGTTATTTCTGCGATTTTTTAACAAAATTACGTTTCTAGCTGAAATGCTCGAGAAAAACTTGTTTTTTTTATTAAGTTATGGAGTGTTATAAACAATTCCTACAAAGTTTGTCAAAGCAAAAAAGAAAATTCTAAAAGTATGTCTAAAATAGCTTAATTTTAATTATTTCGACAAATTTTTAGCACATTTTTTTATTATTTTTTGTTTATCTTTTTTTTTTTCTTTTT